TTTTTCATTTTCTGAGTGCTTGGGTCAGATCCCAGGGTTCTGCATACACTAGGCGAGAGCTCCGCCACTGAACTACATCCCCAAACTGATATTCTAACTTCACCTGATGTTCTCTTGATATTGCAAGGGAAAGACAAATAAACAAATCTCTACACATTGCTTTGGGAGTCCCGTACAGCAGGCGCTTCTGTGTGAATGAATAAACAAACGATCAAGGCTTTAATAATTTCTGCAACTCAAACAGAAACTAGAGACATTCCAATTCTTAGTTAACAACTGTGCTCCACTGCAGGCTACCTTCACGTTTGATCTCCCACACTCCTCATCCCAGGACCAAGGCTTACGATGAACTTCATCCTTTGGGATGCAATTTTGCATGTTGGGAACAACAGAGGTTTATGTTGGAGAAGTGTCCTTGTTTGGGTGAAGTGGGTAATCAACATGGAGGTGAACCACCAGATTAGTTCTGTGTTACCTCCCTTCACAGAGAAAAAGGAGTTTAAATGGCAGCTGGAAAGATGCTCCAAGTACCACCCAGCAGACTCTTCTGCACTGCATCTTCTTACCCATCATTTTCTCCTTCTCACAAATGCCTGCCTATCCCACCACTTGATAGATCCTTTAAGGAGTACTCTCAGTTACTGTAAAAGACTACACCATATTGCTTGGGGATGTAAACTGACTTTTATTAATTATGTCATAATTTTAGAAAAGCTTATTTTAAAGAAAATGATGGTGAAACCCTTTCTGGTTAAGATTTTCTTAGCCTGGGACCAGGTTTGAATTTTAAAATGTGTGTCCAATAACTTTGGGCTGTCTCTTACACTTCTTTTCTAGAGTGTGACATTCTCTTTCCCCACAGGAGTCCCTGGCTATCCCCAAGCTACCTTCAACAAAGGAGAGGCCTCAGCCAGGCAATTTAAGTTAATGGGCTACCTGCCCAGGCATATTTTACTTGCAGCAACAGCTGTAACTACAGAGGGGTCTACTCCACTCTGCCTAACTAATGACAAGCATTTCCTTCTTGCTCAGGGGGTGGATGTCCAACTTTTCAGGTGGAAACTCTTCTCTTGGCATCATAAGGTCACACGATGTGTGAGAGCCTGCCCCTAGTTTTTGCAGGCAAGGTCGACTCAAGCCTGCTATTTGTATGATTGTCTGGCTTTCCATTTAAAAGTATAGAAAAAAAAGAGCAAAAAAGATAATGTCGTGAGCAAACAGTACTTCTACCTAAGTATTCTGTTTTTTAAAAAATGCATTGCCATTGATCTTACATTAAAGAAGCCCAGGGCTTTCAATAGTCAAATTACAAATGCACTAATAAAGAGGTAATTTAATATGCAACTTCATGCATTAATAATTAGCTAAACAGTACTGAACTGCTAGATAAAAAGCTACAGGAAGATAACTAATGAACTATCAATGCCAAAATAGGCATCATAAGAAAGTGAGACTTTAATAAATCATTTATAAAATGGTTACAAATGAACTATTTTGTTAATATCTAACAGGTAACTACTAAGCTCCTTAATTCATAGAAAGAAACTAGGGGCTTGAAGACAATTAACTTTCTAATCACTGAGGGCCAAGAATAGTCAATGAGTTTCTGCACTGGACCTTGAAGTGCTATTGTTTGTTGGTCTAGGTGAAATCTAAGCATTTCCTTGCCTTCTGTGTATTCTTGTAGCAGCTGTCATCATGCACAGAAGCAGCTGAAGTCCAACCCAGAGAACAATAGGCTGGCTGTAGGCTATCAACATCCTAAAAGTTAAGGCTCCCAAGTGCAAGCAACTGAACTGAGGGGAAGGCACTGTGAGGGTCACTGTTCAGGACTGTGTGGAGGGGCCGATTGTTACAGATTAAGGCAATTTTGAACTTCTAAAGCTAATTCGGATCTCAGTGTGAATCTCACACATCTGAATCTCACTGGAGGTTGCAAAAAGGGGCAAAACTAGTTATTCCATGGAGAAAGGTAGCGTCGGTGACAGTATTGATTGTCTCCAGGAATAGCAAATAATAAATTCATCAGAGAAAGAAAATTCATATTTTTGTAGAAGCAAGAAATTGCCTAGTGAAAAAAAATGCTTCCTAATAAATCAAAATTAAAGCTATATTGAACTATGTAGGACAGGGCAGGAAGTCCTTTATTCTCTCTTTGTTAATTCATACAAACTGTAAATGTACAAATGACTGAGCCTTTTCATGGATTGGTTCTGGTAAATTTTACCAAATAGTATCTATATCTACAGAGAAGAAAAGGCAAAAAGGTAAGGAGAAGGAAAAATCTATATTCATAGCTGACTTTTATACTTTATAGCTTATAACTTTTAAATGACAGAAAAATGATCAGCAAACAAGTGTGTGGAGAAGCTACGTGGATGAAATGGCACACCAGCTCTAAGGACAGCTGAAGGCAGACGCAGGTCTGGATGACGTTATTAAAGAAGCTGAAACCCAGCTTGAGAAGCGCACTCAATAGGGGACCTTAGCTAAAAAAGAAAAAAAAATCAATGATAAATAAGACTGCTTCTTCACCTTGAGAGTTCCAACCAAGTGAGACTATTAAAGAAACCACAGTAGTACTGGCTTGGTGCAGTGTGAGATTTCCACTTTGCGGCTTAAGGTTATTCACGGAGTGCCTGCAAGTTGAAATATCATTTCTTTTTATTAACACCACCGTAAGGGGTGAACCTTGGTTAATGAGAACAACAAAGCTCCACTCCAGGTTAGGGCTTGTTAACATGACACACAACTGTTAAATGCATTACTCTTTCCACTTATTAGTGAGATAATGTTAGCCCCAACCCCTCCTCCCCAATATCCATTCACGAAACTATGTCATCTCATTGATGACACAATAATGGTATCAAAGTGGAACCAAAAAACCTTGGTAGCTGCTTCCCTTGGGAATGATTTTTACACACAGATAGGATGGATTGTCTCCTAACCACCTATTTTGCTTCTGAAATTCCACTGCATCTTTCTCAAACTTACTTTATGTCTCTCGTCACCGTAACACATGACTTCAAGGATTGCTGACTCGCTCACTGGCAGTTTGTGACTCTTCTGTGTTACACAATATCACTAAAGTTAAACACGTTTCTGATGATTTACCTCAGCGTATTTCATAAATCTTTGTCAAGACAATTATTGTCAACTGCAATGCAATTATCCATATTCAATATGATGACTCAACTGGAAAATTACTTTTTTCCTAATAAAATTTATAAAATGACAATAGTGAATCAGTGCTGATTAGTTGCTCAGTGGGTACTAATTAATTAAGCCAGGTAAATTTAGGCCTGTGCTAATAACCTTGGGAGAAAAAAAAAAAGATCCGTGTACATGGTTCTTTGTCTTGGGTGAAGGAGACACTTCTGTTTCACTACTCTTCTTTCTTTCTATTTCTTTTCCTAGCTTCTCCCAGAAGAGAAATACAAAATAAACAATAAAACTCAACTACTCTTAGCTGGCTGTACAGATAAAAACTACGAGTTCCTTGTAACCTTGTTAAGGTCGACAGTGAAAGAAAAGACAGAATGCTTTTTATTGTTTATAACTAACAGTAGAAACCCCTGCCAGCTCCTCCTTGGGGCAGAATTGGTATAGATCACACAACCAACAGTAAGATATAACAGTGTATCTATCATGCGATGGCTTCTCTACCTAGCAGCTCATTGAAGTGCTGACGTCAGCCATGGGCTCTGCATTTGGCATGGGAGGGGAAGGGCATTCTTTGGGTTCAGAGGTCACTATTTTTGAGCTTTTATATGGTGATAATGCATTTCCTCTGAGCCTACTAAAAAGCTAGTGAATCACGGAAATAAACGGCGGCCATGGTAGAGGATGCCCCCTGCCAAGCTTCCCAGAAAAGGCTAACAAGGAAAAGCCTAACACTTTGTTCAGACAATACACAACACAAGGGATCAATGACTGTCCCAGTGTTGTCCACAGAAAAAAAGCCTGAGTTTTATCAGCCAGGACATATTTAATCACCAAGTAGATTAGCTTATGATAATTTTCATCAAGTTATATTTTCGTATGAGCAGACCACCACCGTGACCTGGCCCATACTGGAAGTTCTAATTTCAGAACCTCTTTCAGAAAATAATATTAGTATGGGATCCAGAAGACAAAAAATTCATCAAAATGGTTTTTATTAGGGGGTGGGGGTCAGGTTCCAGATAACCACTTGTCTGATTACAAGCAGAGAACAGAATTTTTAGGGGTACAGATTCTGCTTCCTGTAAAAGAAGAATTTCCCAATAGAACTAAGAAGAAGTATACGACATCTTTACCCAGAAGCTCCTTGGTCGTGGGCTCTGAGTCTTGGGGGAAAGGGCATTACTTCAAGGTTCCCAGAGACTTTTATTTTGAGTATCTTTGAAAATAATGCAAGAATGAAGTTTAAAGACTGAGTCTGTTCCCCGTCCCACTTCAAGAAAGTAAAGATATTTTTTTAACAGGATGTCATTCATAAGTGTTTAAGTGTTATACTTGGGGAGTGGGCACTAGGAGTTTAGGAGCCATGGGTGACATCTAGGCGGAGGAAGTCTAGAACCAGGGAGCTGTCCACGTGAGTCAAGGTGCATGGGACCTGTTATAGTCACTGTTTCTCACCCCTTCCATTCCCCACCTGCCCGATCGGGGGTGGGGTGGGGTGGGGGGGTTGTGGGAGAAAATAGCAGGTGCGAATTGTTTCACAGAAGTGGCAGTCTCACCTCTTATAAGGAACGAAATGTGTGAAAAGATGAAAAACTTCACTGATTCAGCATGTAAGAAATTTCCAACAATCTGGAACTGATCTTAAAAAAGGCAAAACACTGGGGGATATAATTACGATACATTTCTGTTAGTGAGAAAACCGTTGGACTAGTTTATTTTTAAATTTCGGAGGCGTCAAAACGTGCCCCGTTGACAATCGTAGTAGCACACACCCTGCCTGTGCCCTGAGTGGTCTTAATGATCAGATGATGTGAGGCTTCAAGCGAAGATGTTACCTGCTTTCCAGTGGTACATTACTGCCAAGGACCCAGCTGTCCTGCAGCTGGACGGACTCGGGTGTGGTTTGCAGCTCGGCGGGCAAAGCAGCCGGCGGGGCCGGACTCTGGTTCCTTCTATTGGTCAGGGAGTTTCTATTGAGGGAAGTGATGGACGGGTGATGTTGGGCAGGATGCTGCTTATGGGAAGGCGGCAAAGGCTGCAGGGTAGGTTGCCCTTGGTTGTTTGCAGGTTGCTCTGTGGAAGAGAGAAGAGAAACAAAGGGAAACTCATTATACATCTCTGTGTGTATGTGTGTGCATACACATTGCCACTTTTCTTGTTGAGCTGGTGCAGATAAATTAGAATCAAAAACTGCACAGAAACCCACCACCTAACACATTTGCATATTATTCTATTAAGGGATTGCTCAGTGACATTCTCAAAGACCAAGTTTACCCTTGATACGCAAAGTTCTAATTAATATACAACAGATGGCAAAATTGCTTTTGGTTTTAATTTGTTTCAGTTTTTTTTTTCATCTGGCTTTATTAACACCTACAGAAAACATCAACTGACAGCTCCCCTAATGTGTCTTTAGATTTCAGCTTCTTCTTTTTTTTTTTTTTAAACAAACCGAGCCTGAAATTAAATGGGTGATTTTGGTAGAACACAAAGGTTTTCGAAATGCATAGAATCCCTGTAATTATTTAATGGAGTTTTTTTAAGCTTTATTTAACAGCAATAAATTATTACAAGCTAGTTGCTAAACAGCAGTAGACGGCTCTAGTTTACTGCACCTCAAACAAGGCGGCTCCGTGCTATGATCCACTAATAGATGCTAAGCACTCTGCAGCAGAAGGTCACTCTGGGAAGCAGATGTTGTCTCGTGGATACTTAACAGACTGAATCACATCTGATTACAACGTCAGAAGACTCATATACTTAATGACCGTTACATCCATTAGAACACACACAGAACAGATTTTCCAATTTCACAGTGCGCAGTAGAACCACAGTTCTGGGAGTGAAGTCGTAGGTGACCAGAGCGACTCCTGCCATTAGATCCGTGACACAAATACTTTGTTCCAAACAAGAATCATAAGGGGTTCACTGGTTTCAAAATATGAACACAATATTACATTGTAACTCTATGGGAAAATTCTCCAGAGCTAGTAAATCATTTGTTAAATATCACAAGTCATTGTAACATCTAAGTTCTACTTTGTACAACTTAGCTTGGGACACGCATGCTACTGAATTGACAAATACAGCATTGTATCAGAAAGGTGATTCCTTCATTTAATGTCAAACACCCATAAGATGTCTATTTTTTTATTAAATATAGTTTAAAATGCAACATAATTTCAAAATGTCTTATTAAATCATGCTATTAATATAAATACCTATATTAAAGGAGAATTGGAAACAGAATGACTATCTTTCATAGACCGTGACGTCCATCGGTGGTTATTAAGGTAAATAATACAGTCACATACTGTAATTCTGGTTTTATGAAATGAATACATGATGCATATAATAGGGTGACTATCTTATCAAACCTCTTTAGCAGATAAGCAACAAAAATAGCTCCTTCCACAGCAGACAACATCAAGGGTTATTATGTTTTTCTAGCGGTGTCTAATAGTCCCTATCATGTAAGTTAATGACCAACAATCTCTTACACTTGAAATGAAAAGCATAGCCATTACCTGAATATATGAAAACAGAGCGGAATCCCTTGTACAAGTTCTGGCTCTGAAGCACCCCACACTAGAAAACTGAAACAAAAAAAATCTTCCCTGACTCAAGGCCTTGTGAAAAGGACAAATGAAGGTCTGAGTCTCACTTCAAATGTGATGAGCTTCCGAAGGACTAGCAGGGCTAAAATGGTACTGAGTTGAACCTTGGTCACAACACAAAGCTTGAACAGTTTCAACCCCATGCAGGAGTCATGATACAGGCCTCCTGTAATTAACTAGAGCTGTCTTCCTCAGCACCAGTGCACATGATGAGATTCACCACAGAAAACCATGAGGCACCTTTAGAAAGAAAGCTGCTCGGAGTGTGTCGTGGCAAGAGGCAGCTGTGAGAGGCAAGGGATGGAAACAGAGAGAGGCAGAAGACTTTGCCTAAGTGGCATGAGGGGTCAGCCGATTCCATGTCTTTTAGCTTGGTACCATCCAAGAATTGTATTGTCCTTCACACAACTTTCATAACAGATGCTACTTTAGTGTCTGAGGGAAACAGGCATCTAAGAGTTGGAATATCAGAGCTAATCCTTTGTGAGGAGTCACGACAGAGTCCTGTAATGCATAATCTCAGGACAACTCTAAGGATCCAATAAAACCTACTCAATCGTCCGATGCTCCCACATTTGGCCATTCATTTCACAAACATATAACTACACTTTGTGTTTCAGGGATGTGCAGGGTTAATGCCAACTGAACTCACTGTACAAATAAAGTGTATAGACATGAAGATTACTATCAAAGGCTAAATCAACTTATGCTCTCTGACATGCATGAATATGTTAGCTCAGGATTCTGTTTAAAACAAATCAAAACATAACCAATGTGATGGTTTGTATATGCTCGGCCTAGGGAGTGGAATGATTTGAAGGTGTGGCCCTGTTAGGGTAGGTGTGTCACTGTGGGTGTGGGCTATAACATCTTCATCCTAGCTGCCTGGAAGTCAGTCTTCCACTAGCAGCCTTCAGATGAACATGTTTAACTCTCAGCTCCTCCTGCACCATGTCTGCCTGGATGCTCCCATGCTCCCACTCTGATGATAGTGGACTGAACCTTTGAACCTGTAAGCCAGACCCAGTTAAATGCTGTCCTTTATAAGACTTGCATTGGTCATGGTGTCTGTTCACAGCAGTAAAACCCTAGCTAAGACAACTACTATGGAAAATTCTCATTTAAGGTTTCTGGAATGTGCTACTGGGAATTATCCTGGGTCCAGTTGTTCAATTTATAAGCATTTATTAAAGACTTTAACCAGCCATCATGCAAAACACCAGTACTTCCTGTGGTCTATGCAGAAACTGCACTGGAACCGATTTGCATCTGGCTACACAGCAAGCAGATGTTGAAGGCCCTGATCTCTACAAACTTTGATGGAAGAGTCTGAGTGGGCTAGCCAAGTTTAAATTCTACAGCATGTCATGGACAGAAACAATAACCACGGGCTTGGAATTCACAGTGGTTCTCAAGATTTGGGCATTGGGACACAGCTGGAGTTCGTGTTTATCTCCACCAATCTCAGCGATGTGGAGTAAGCATATAAATCTTATAAAAATGAGATAAAGCTAAACACAGCTAGAAACACGCCAGAATAAAAGAACAAGAGTGGGAAAGATAAAGATAGATCTAGGGTTACATGGCTCTCTACATTTTTAAAGTGGCATAAAAATCTGGCTGTCAATATTCCAGCTTCCAACACAAAGAATAAACACGATCAGTTATAGGACCTGGAATATTTTTCAAAACCATAATATTTGCTGGAGACAAATGTAAGTCTGACTCATACTGAGACCAGAGAGATTTCTATTTAGAGTCTGTACATAAAGAACCACTGAATGTTCAGGGGAAACATTTAGGTCCAAGGTCATAAAGTAACAGAGAACACTGTCTAGACTTAGGGATTATTAAAATGTATGAGAATCTAACTCTGGTAGGTAGATCTTCATAAGAACAATGCAGCCTGCAACTCAGCCTTTGGGTTTGAACTGAGGGCAAGCTTTGCCCAGACTTAAGAAAAGGTTTTGGATTCAAGGATGTGGGACAAACATAGAGACCCAGAGGTGAGGGTGCCATTGTGATTTTGAAAAACTCTAAATGGAATGAGATGGCTCAGCAGTTAAGAACAGGTGCTGGGACCTGGGTTCAGTTCCCAGCGTACGTGCTTGATGGCTCACAGCTGCCAAGCGATGTGACCCCTTGAGCTTCATGGGTCCCTTAACACGCATGCACCATCCTCACACACATGATTTTAAAATAATATAAATACTCCTTTAGGAAAGAAAAAAAGAAAGAAAGAAAGAAAGAAAGAAAGAAAGAAAGAAAGAAAGAAAGAAAGAAAGGAAGGAAGGAAGGAAGGAAGGAAGGGAGGGGGAGCTTGTCCTGGGGCTGGAAAGATAGCAGGGTGGTTCAGAGCTCTTCCAGAAGAACCGAATTTGATTCCCAGCATCTTTATGATGGCTCACAACCATTCCTAACTCCAGTTCCACAGGATTTGATACCCTCTTCTGGCCTCTGCTGGACACCAAGCATGCAAGTGGTACACAGACACACATGCATGCAAAACAAATAAAATAAAATAAAAATTAAAGACTAAAAACCCTCAACCAACCAACAATCAAAAAAAAAAAAAGCCAGAAAACCAAACCAAACCAACAATAACAATAAAAAAACCAAAAAAACCAAAAAAAAAAAAATCCTCTCTATGGATCTTTCCTCTGAGTTACAGGTTTGGTTTTGTTGTTGTTGTTTAAAATATTGTCTTTCCTTTTTCTATATACAAATACCACTTGCTTCAACCTCTAAGAGAGGTAACTGACTTTCCCAGATGGAAATCACTTTCCTCATCTCTGACTCTCCTTAGACCGTTATCTGGTCTATGTTCCTAGTTCCATTTACTCTCTCGTTTGTACCACAGTTAATTCTGCAGGTCCTGTGACCCCTTCAACTGCTTTAATGCAACATGAGCTCATGCTAACCCCAAAGATCGGTACCTTGCTCACCCTCACTCAGACACGCTTCTTCTCGCAGCAGATGGGAACAAATGCAGAGACCCCTAAGTGGACAACGTGCAGGGAGAGACCTTGGGACATTCAGTTCTAACTAGGCTGTCTCCATCAGAAGACTAGGATCCAGAGGGGATGGATGGATGACACAGTGTCTTTCAGACACAATAGGACTAAGGTACACATAAACTCACAGGGACAGTGACAGCACACATACGGCCTACACAGGTTCAATAGAGGTCACAGGGGAGGGGGGAGGCGCGGGGAAGGGCTGACAGGAGGAAGTGGGCACAATGTCCCACCCATAAGAAGCTATTTGTAAGTGGTACCTGTTAAGAAAGGGGAAACTTAGTTTCCTTCAGTGGAGTGACACTGGTGTACAAACCACACTTGGGCAGGCCCCTTTGCCTAGGGGTAGTTGTCCAACATGAAACAGACTCCATGTGATTTTGTTTGTTTGTTTTATTTTGCTTTTGTTGTTTTTGTACTTTTGATTTTTGGTTTTGCA